CAGTTAATTACCTTTTTACTTGGCTTCCTTTTATGGCCAAAACAGCAAACATACACTACACACTGATAGCAGATTTCCGGCTTTTCAATGTTAAGCTTGCTTTAACGCACTGAGTAATGGGTACAACCCCTCTATTACTGTTATATGGCATATTTTTCATAACAAACCCTCTGCAATAGATTGGTAGCATCTGTGACTTCATCTATAATTGTCGGAAGTCTGGGTCCTTTCGAAATCAGTACCGTTATATCCTACTGCTGGGCACTCTGTATTAGTTTGACTCGTTGGTGGGACAGTGTTGTCCATAATAATGAAGAAAATTAAAAACCGCAGATTGTTTCCTTTCATTTTGCCGATAACATCCTAAAGGACAGTTAGGAACGAACATGCGAACAGTTAGAATCACAGGCGGCAGTAACAATTATTTTAGCTAAACAAAAACGAACTTCGGCTTCGGATATCTAGAAAACAATGTAAAACATAACCGATTGTCGTTTGAAAACGTAAGGTCTTATGTTAGTACTAGCCAGCTTAGCTGAATAAATACAGTGACTTCATTAGCAGCAGGTAAAACCCAGAAAACAAAGCAAAATCAGGAAAAACTTCGCTCCAACGTTCAGAGTATTACACTAACTTCTGGATTTCAGCACACTGAAACATCAAATTCTGTAGCTACACAAAAGAAATAGCGGAAAAAAACAGAGAAAGAAGAAAGCCGGCCGACATTTTATAACACAAGACTAGCCAGATTGCCCGAAGAAATACATTGACTTGAGTAGAAGCAGCAAAAACCCAGAAAACATCGCTGATTCGAAATAAACTTCACACCAACATATAGAACATTACTCTAAATGCGGCATTTTAGCACACTGAGACATTAAATTACATGGCTATACAAAAGAATTAGCTGAAAGAAGCACAGAACGAAGAAAGCCGACCACCATTGCTTACAAAGATGGCGGATGTAACAATTCCCGCCTCATTCTGATTGGTTGCTAAGCTGAAGGGCACATTTACGAAATTGAGTTGCGTTTAATTGCAGCCTTAGCATGTGTTATATGGCCAAGTGTTTCTCTAGCACGAACTAACTTGCTAAACAACAAAAGGAATAGTTGATAAAAAACGTTTTGTACCTGAGAATCAATAAAAATAGTCTCGACAAGATGGAATCAGATACATGTCTGAACGGATTCCAGAAACGCTTCTAGACAGACAGTCAAGGGTTAACAGTCATACGGTGAAACGTGCCGTGATTTCAAGTTCCGTCGAACACGACCTCACTGGCAATAGTCCGGCAACCTGCAACTGCAAACTAAGTAAATCTTTGACCAAGGTCAACTGAATACGTTCTGACAGTGAAGAATGAAGAACATGAATAAAAAGAAACCTGATTGAAAGGTAAAATGCGAGACAGAGCGTAAAAACAAATGTGTGACATTGCCGTTTAATGAAATGGTGTAGAGGGACTTTCAGCGTCTTCTTTCTGTCACACTCAATACTCACCGATTATAACTACTCGTAGCTGTTGGATAAAGTATTATCTAGCATTTATCTGCTTCTCTATTCTGAGTTAATAATCCTGTAACTAACTTGCTAAACAACAAAAGGAATAGTTGATAAAAAACGTTTTGTACCTGAGAATCAATAAAAATAGTCTCGACAAGATGGAATCAGATACATGTCTGAACGGATTCCAGAAACGCTTCTAGACAGACAGTCAAGGGTTAACAGTCATACGGTGAAACGTGCCGTGATTTCAAGTTCCGTCGAACACGACCTCACTGGCAATAGTCCGGCAACCTGCAACTGCAAACTAAGTAAATCTTTGACCAAGGTCAACTGAATACGTTCTGACAGTGAAGAATGAAGAACATGAATAAAAAGAAACCTGATTGAAAGGTAAAATGCGAGACAGAGCGTAAAAACAAATGTGTGACATTGCCGTTTAATGAAATGGTGTAGAGGGACTTTCAGCGTCTTCTTTCTGTCACACTCAATACTCACCGATTATAACTACTCGTAGCTGTTGGATAAAGTATTATCTAGCATTTATCTGCTTCTCTATTCTGAGTTAATAATCCTGTATGTCATATGGTGTGATTGATCTCGTTACGGTATTGACATATTATAGTTAGCATGCCTGATAGAGAGAGAAAAAAGTATTTTGAAACATCCGTCGTACTTTATGGTGTGACATCTCAGTGCTACTCCACTTTCCGTGTAGGATCCAAACTACGGTTTGGACTGCTGAATAGCCCTCCTGGTACGTTAGACACGCGCTCTTTCCCGTCGAAATCAAAACAAGTGATCGGGTAAATAGCGGTTCTATAATTCATCATAAATTTAAATGTAAATCGTTACCTAAACAAATATTACCACTCGGCTATTCAACCAATAATTGTTCAATCAATCAAATCTAAATTACAATAAATAAAGTAGTTGATGAAGGATGAGGGAAAATTACCAGTCACAACAAATGAACGCTATTCTATCCTGACTGGATAGAACACACTAAAGGAGGAGCAAATCAATATGGCTACTGCCAAGAACAAGTGTCAAGTGAAACAACACAGATGCTGTTCGGGAAGAAACACAAACTTAGTGAATGCGTAAGAAAAACAAAAACTATAATAAAAAATACAAGTATCAACAATTCAAGTGTAACCAAAAGACTACAATGTACAACTAAGGGGAACAATAGGAACAAAGTGCAAGTGTATACATGGAGGGATTTTCACACACACCAAACATTCCAAACGGATCTTACACTCCGAGTCTTCGAATTTCGTAATAATAAAATTGGTTGGTGTTTCCAAGGCCTTTGTACTTTCTTCGTTAGCGTCAGAAAAGGAAAGTCTTAGAGTTATGTACAAATCCTTGCATTTCAATTCTGTTGTAAATGGGTTATCAGGCATTTCACCAGAATCATATTCATTGATTAGTGAGGGAAGTATTTTTTGAAGCATTCGTAAATGTTCTAGATCCAGGGTAGACCATCCCTAAACGCTGGTGAAGGATTCATGAGCTGTAAATGAAATTTATCATCCCTGATCAGTGGATTACAGCATCCAATAATAAGACGTTTATGACCGGTAATGCTCGAAATGGAAATGTCCGTCGGTTTAGTGACTCCAACTTTCCGAGTGAATTGCCATATTTCATACTACTAGTGTCCGATTTTTTCACGAATAAAACACCTAGGATGACGGAATACATATGAGTTACGTGAATGAGGTTTATCACATGATGAACACTTACCAAACTCATGCCCATATTTGTTCAATGTTTTCCAACTCTTCAACGAGCCGTTTTTCGTGTTTTCACTCAAACGGAGATTAGGTTTATTCCAACGCCTGTTTGCATGACCATAAATACTAGTCAGAATGACCTGAAAGTCGCTTTCATGTAGTGGCATCGTGGAAGAAACAGTTCAGTATTTGTATAAGCTCTCTTTCCAGATTTGATATTCTAATTCTTATAATCAGTCGGCCACGCAGCAGGATATGAAGTTGATCACCAAAATTGCACTTGAAGGCTTGTTCCTACAATTCGGGGTTAAAACCTCTAACAATTAGTTTAATCTGACGAATAATTTTATGAGACTTGAGTCTTTGACGACATTCAAAATATGTATATTTTACATAAGTTAATAGTAAATCTCTGAGCAATTCATTGGGAAGTGAAATAAGTCTGTCTGGAAATGCCAAATATTATTGTGAGCTGTAGGTATTCTTTCCGATAAATGCTAAGGAACGAGCCACGATTTTATCATCTTTAACAGCTATCCTAGTCATAATTAATATCTCAAACTTTTCCATGTAATCTTCAAAGTCTTCAGTATTTGAATGCAAGTCCAACTTTTGAATCAGAGGCTCCGTCGGCACGCCAATATGTCGACCAGAAATATTGAAATTGACGTCTTAACTAATTGTAGTGTCGATCATTATATGAAGCCCACATAACTTTTATGGGCTTTCGGACGGACCAATGTATTCATTCCTGAGTTTGACCTTGTTAATTATTGGCTTATCAACCCTGACTGTTTTTTTTGTGTGAGCTTATGTGTATGCATTTGATATATTACTCATTACATGTCTGTAAAGTATTCCTGTTCAACTAGAAATATCGATTCACGATTGGTTAAAGTGATTTGACACACTTGCCGTCTCGACCGCACGTCATTTCGCTGCACTCTCTTCTCTCCGCTTCCTTCACCTAGTTCCTGTGATTGTATGTCTAGATCAATGAGCGTACAAAACTTGCGTATTCAAAACTTCATTCTCGTATATTTTGACTGCAATCATTCGATAATGATTATTCATCCGATCTAACCAGAGTCAGATACACGGCCACTAATTAATAATTCCTAAAATAGTACAATTCAAGACAAATAGAACTAGACGATTATTACTGAACGTATCACCTATGGGATTTGTACTGAGCGCTAAATCAAGTACATAGGAATCATCATTTAGTACAAATGCAACACAAACACACATTCAACAATCGAAAATCAGCGACCGATTGGAACAGCTATGCCTGATGCATGTTTTATTACTTGCTAAGTGTTATCCTTATCACATATCATCTACTTATTCTTGTCTCGTTTATTGTCATCTGCATCTCCTGCTTTATTCTAACATTTTGATCTCGAAATGCCAACACTACCAATTAAATAAAATATTTATGTATAGATAGAAATAGTCGTCTTCTCCTAAGACTCGAGTTATCTTTTCATTATCTCACACATTGCAACCAACCGGTTTCCTGCCAGGCGATGCGATAGTTGACGATTTGCAATAGAACTACTTCCCTAAGACAAACGCGTCTAATCACACTACACCATATACAAATCCAAAATAAACTAAAAAACAGACTAGAATTAGTACGATCAAGTGGCTAAACCACAACCCATCGGACATTAATAAATGCCTGAAACCGAGCAGAGACGATAAGATGCGAGCGCAAACAAGACAATCGGCCTGCACAAGTTCGGAACGATAATATTGGTTATTGGACAGGACTCGTGGGTGCGCATTTGGATTTTGCTCTTAGATGTAAGTAGTTTGGTGTGAATGTTGCTGTTAGTTATGCATTTTTAGCGTTGATAACTTTCAGACGGTTTGTACATATTAAAAGTTCGCTTGCTGCAGCACGGAGCACACTAGTTTGCTTTACATGTATATTTGTGTAAACCTGACGAATTCACCATCAGCGTTATGGGACTATCAGTTGGAAGATACTAATAATCTTAGTAGTCAGATAAATCGTAAGAGTTTGATGATTCTATCTTCCAGCATATATTTCCGAGATGCGTATAGTGTAGTGTGTCAAATGAGTGTATAAGACTGATCGCTCTTAAGATAATAGTAAAAATGATAAGGTATGCAGTTGATTTAGGGAAGAAACCCAAGAACCATTATTTCATTTATAAACGTTTCTCTCAACCATATGAACAAACTGAAACAAATTTAAAGCTGACCATCACTGGCTTCTATTCAGAGACATTTCTGATAACGTCTCAAGCCACTGTGTTGCACCATCTCTAGGACCCCAAACAGGAAGTCTTGAAAGGTCAACGGAAACCAGTCCTGTCTAGCTTTTCATCACACCACGGCATCATGTCATGCACTGACCACGTCTCTGCCTTTCCCAACCAATCTCAGCGTTGGCAAGCAATGCACGACATGGAATTCTCTGGGACGACATTCGTAGGACATGTCCAAGCCAACATGTTTAAGTCAATGTTTCGAGATAGTGACACCAACTGAATTGTCGTTGCTGTGCTCAAGCACACGTTGGCGAACCTCCGCACCACTAACATGGTGTTGGCACTAAGTATCAACAATCCGTCGTAGACGATGATGACCAAACACTGAGGGTCGTCTAACATCCTCAACTCAGAGAGGCTAGGTTTTACAAACGCAGAGCAAAACTGCTCTCATCAACGCGTTGTAGATCCGACCTTTTACAGACAGACTAACATCACGAAGGCGTCAAAGACGACTCAGATTGGCATAAGCCGCTCTGGCCTTATGATTAACACCTCCAGCACTTACGCAGCTGCCCAGATACACAAACTTTTCGACCCAGAGTGAGTGCAGGTTCAGGGTCCTGCCAGTCTTGTAAAAGTACTTCGCACTTGGAAGGTGCAAAGCACATGGCATACCTACAAATACTGATTGCCAAATGGTTAAGTGCCGATTGTGTGGCTGGGGTAACATCGCACAGTAAGACAATATACTCAAGGTCGGAAAGTTTTCCCCAGACAACAGATCCACACAACCATTGCCTACAGACATCAGAGTTGTTTTGGCAACGCCATCGATGACAAAGTCAAAGAGGAACAGTGAGATTGGGCAACTCTAACCACACTGCTTGGATAAAACAATAGAGAGAAGTGGTTGCATGCCCTCACCCCGCCTGAGGTGTTTGTATCTAGGACCTCCGGTATGTTAACAAGCTTCTCAGGAACACCCTTCTCCACTAGACAACCCAAGAGAACAGCCGAAGGCGGCATTGGTGTCAGGAAACACTGACTGTTGGTCTGTAATAAGTATGATTAGAACGAAAGCTAGCCTGCTCCTTGCGAGTCAATCCTTTCCGGGTTTTGAATAGTCTACAAAGTACGATGGAAGTGAATAATTTTGATGCGATCGGGAGTAGTAAACTTATCCCCCAATAGTTGTTGCGTGAGTGACGTGAACTTTTTCAAGACAGGGACGACTATGGACTGATTCTAGGATGTTGTAACACATCAATACACAATACATTTGCAAACAACTCAGTTCCTTAACTTGAAGGTCACCACTAACTGTAAAACGGATTGGAGGTAGGTCATTTGGGCCTGGTGATTTGTAGTGTTCCAAGAGTTGAAGTTCCTTACGGACTTCAGTCTCGTTAGGTGGAACAGTCAACACTAGCCAGAGAGGACAAAACAGTCTGATCGATGTCACTGGAGCAGCAGACCAGTTGAACTGCTCATTGAGAGACTGCCCATTGTCCAAGACGTCGGTAAATTTAATCGACTAGTGTTCCGTCAGCGTTACAGATCGTTTCACGCACACCCGACTTGCTGTTGCTAGTGACTCAGATGAGTTAGAAAAGCTTCCGGTAACTACCAGATGCAGCTGCTTCGTCAGTCAGTCAGCTACAACGTAGGACCAGGCACATATATGCATCGGTCCAAGTTGCCATACCTCATTAACACAACAAGATGGACACCGGATTCATAAAGGTGTTAATTCAGAGGTGGTTATTAATAAAAGAAAGATTGCCTATAAGGATATAGTACAGGAAAAAAGAATTAGTTCATAGAAAGAAAGATATGAAGCGATTTTAATCTCTTAGTTTAAGGGAAGACAGAGAGTGTATACACCGACGCCATTGTGATCGATCCTGAGCCATGTCACCAAGAGTCTCCAACCATTGGTTACGAAAGTCACGCGGACTCCAACCAAGTAGCCTGCATCTACCAACATGGCTCAGACTAGAAGTTAGTGACTTCAAGGACTGATGCCACGTTTTGGTTTGGCCGCCGCTAACTTTCTTCCAACCATCTCCAATACCGGGTAGCATTGCACGTCGTGGTAATCGGTATTCAGGCATACGTAACACGTGGCCCAACCATCTCAGTCGATGAAGATTCATAACCTCATCAACTGATTTACCATCCTTCCCTAATGCTCTGCGTCTAACCTCACTACTACTTACCCGGTGATCCCAGCAGACGCCAGCAATATTTTTAAGGCATCTGTGGTCAAATACTAGTAGCTTACGAGTGTCTTCTACTCTTAATGGCCATGTCTCGCTGCCGTAAATTAAAACAGAACGGACTGCCGCGCAATATACTCGTCCTTTTATTGATAGACGGATATCTCGCCTTCGCCATAGGTGACGTAAGTTAGCAAAAGCCAAGCGAGCTTTTCAAATCCGTGCTGAGGTTTCGTCAGACACCAACCCATTAGGGCTGATCAGACTTCCAAGACAAGTGAAGTTGTCAACGCGTTCGACTACTTCACTCCCTATCCTTAGTTCAGGTGTTGACGCAAACCAGTCCTGAAGCAACAACTTGCATTTAGAGGAAGAGAAGCGCATTGCAAACATTCTGGCATTGCTGCTTAGTGCTACCAAAAGACTCTGCATTCTATCAGCGTCTTCACCAAACAGGACTGTCATCTGCGTATTCTAAGTCGATAAGTGGACCTCCTGGAAGGAGATCAACACCCGAGAATTCAATAGACGAGAATGTTATTTCCATCAATAGGTCTATGATGAAGTTAAACAAAAATGGAGAAAGTGGACAGCCTTGACGGACACCACTCGAGGTTGCAAAATCAGATGACAGTTCGCCATAAGCTCTGACTCGACTAGTAGTGTTCGAGTAAAGAGCCTTCACAAGGTCTATGTACTTCTGAGGTACGCCTTTCAATGACAGACACTGCCACAGAATCTCGCGGTCTACCGAGTCAAATGCTGCTTTTAAGTCAAGAAAGACCACCATTGTCGGACGTCGATAAGTATGCCTGTGTTCTAGAATCTGACGAATGGTGAATATGTGGTCGATGCAGCCACGACCAGGTCTAAAGCCAGCTTGGTTCTCTCGTGTTTGCAGTTCACGAGTCTTAGTTAGGCGTCTGATAATTATCGAGGCTAGTATTTTAGATATTATATTAGTTAAACTAATCCCTCTATGGTTGTCACAGGATGATTTTAACCCTCTCTTATATATTGGGACGATAAGTGATTGTGGCCAGTCAAGTGGAATAACGTCTAACTCCCAGATTTTAGCTAAAATATTAGTCAACGTAATCGCTAAAATTGGACCACCATCCTTAAAGACCTCTGGAGTCAATCCATCTGGACCAGCTGCCCTTCCTCGTTTCAGATTAACTATAGCCTTTTGAACTTCTGCTAGAGTTGGGGGATCTTCTTCAATGTTCCATTCACACGGTCTGGGAATGGAGGGTAGTTGTAGAGTAGCTGAAGGCCAGCTGAACTGTTCTCTAAAATGTTCCGCCCATCGTTCTAAACGCCTGGACTGGGAGCAGATGAGTGTATCGTCTTTTTCCGATATAATCTCACTTACACTTGACTTAATAATTCCAGTTTCTTTTATTAGTCTGTAGAGCTGTCTTGTGTTCCCTATAGCCACCGCCTTTTCCATCTCTTTTGCTTTCGTTGCTCACCACTGCTCACGGTCGTTCCTTAGACTTTTGCTCAACCTAGATCTGATTTGTTTTCGCTCTTCATCGTGTTCAGAGCCTGATGGGATGAGTTTACGAGAATCCATCAGTGCAATAGACCTAGAGGAAATCCATTGGTTCTTTGTAACCCTGTGGTTTAAGTCACTAATAGATGTCACTGCTGTTTCCACAGCAGTTTGTATAGCTTTCCAAGCAACATTTGGGTCAGCCTCGTCTTCACAACTACCTAAGTGTGACCTCAGCTGTTCCTGGAACCTACTTTTGGTTTTCTCGTTACTCAACTCAGTTCTAACGGGTCTTTTTAATGTGGCTTTTTTGCGTCCAGTGAGGCGCAAGCAGATGCGTGCCCGTATTAGGGCATGGTCGGAGTCCAAGCAGGTACTCCAGAATGAGCGACAATCTTCTACCGACCCTCTCCAACGATGACTGATGGCAATGTGGTCTATTTGAGTACATCGTTGGTTTGGTGCAGGGGCTCGCCATGTTAGACGATGTCTCTTCTTATGCTTAAAATTTTTGTTAAAAATAAACGGTTGTCTGAGCACAGTTGCAGCAGACGACCACCATTACCTGTTCGTTGTGCCGGAATACTAAAATACCCACCTAAATGCCTTTCTGTTTGGTTTAAACTACCTATCTGGGCATTAAAGTCACCTGCTACGAGTACTATGTCTGAACGTTTAGCTTTCTGAAGAAGTTCAGATAGCTTTCTGCAAAATTCATTTTTCACTTCATCCGAGTTGCAGTCGGTGGGAGCATGGGCAGAAACGACGAAAAGGCAACGACGTGTGTCCCTATCCTTCCGAGTTCTTACGGAGCCGTTTAGCCGAACAGCACATAGACGACTGTTGACGGGGATCCACTCTAGCAGTGCTTGTTCGGCCCTCATGCTTAGTGCTATGCCTACACCTGCCAGTCCACGAAAACTGGCCATCGGGTCACCAGATACACGTAGGGTGTATCTCGTTGGCTCTCCGTTTTGCCGAGGTGAGGTCAAGTGAATGACCACACTGGGATCCTGTATGCGTGTTTCGGAGACACAGCATACATCAATGGTGCGAGATTCTAGGGTTCTAGCCAAGGAAGCCTGTTGACCGTTTTGACATAGGGTGCGTACGTTGAAGGCTCCAATGTGTAGTTTGGAGCGAGCTTTCAGTAGACCTGGGACAGAATTTTGAGCACTAGAATCGTTTGCTATGGTGACATTTGAGGAGGAAGCCGAAAAAGGAAGTTTAGAGGTGAAAGTCGATGTAGGAGGAATAATAGAAAGTGAAGACGGAGGTTGATTATGAATACAGTGGTCTTGAGTGCTGTTAGAGGTATGAGGGCGGTTATCACTTCCCGGTTGCCCATACCGTAGAAGGGTTCTTCCGGAGGTACCTGAAAAGGAAATTCGATTAGAGGTGGTCTTAGTGACCCGAGAGCGTGACCGCAGTGCCCAAGGGACAACTGTTTGAGGTCGGTCACACACGACATTTTTGTGAGTAATTTTTGTGTTAGCTCCGTACTTTTTGGGACCTTACTGCCGGAGAAGGATATCCGTGGGATAAGGCGAGGTGTGCATTTTTAGGGTCGACCTTTTCTAACCCCACCCCTCCTTGTGGGAAGGCAGCATCGCTGTCATGCTGGTTGTCTGAAGGAAACACCTTACTGCTGTCACACCTCTGTACAGTCAGCAGTACGACTTCGCCTTCGAACCTTGGGTTTGTTGCTTTTAGTCTTACCGCTGTTCAACCGACCTGTCTGACATGGTAGGACCTTGAGGAACAGTTGTTCCAGCCAGTGTAGCTCGGTTGCTTCATCACGATAGGCAAGCCCGACCACCACGTCAAGGTAGCAACATCGGTCGGGACAGCTGCTTCGTGTACCTCGTTAGCACGTCCCAACCACTAGGTTTCTCGGTCCTTACGCAAGCTTTGCACAATTTCATTACGCAACTGTCTTTATTTGTGGTCAAACTCGCGGTCAATTGGAGTAGACCGACGTGCTTCAATGATTTTTAAGTATCATGTAGAATATTCCTATTATAACTGGAATTAGACTGGTCACTTAATAGTTTTTTTCAGCATGATCTTTTCATCACTTCATCCGAATCCAGCATAACATATTCCTCGAGTTCAAACCTATGCAATTCTTTCAAGCTTTAGTATATGACGAAAAATACTATTTATAGACAAAATTTATGAGTCCTAAAATACGCATTAAAGGTTTACTAAAGCGTTGCACTACTGACAAGTTAAGGTGATTCACGTGATAGCAAATATTTCTAAGGGAGTTGTCGTCAGATTATCCCATTTAATGGATTACAGTCCTCCTTTAAACTTGAATAGTTGTAAATTTTAAGGACAATACGTCTGGAATTCCATATTATACTGTTTCACACAGAAACAGCCCACTTAGACCTTAATTCTTCCAAACAGTTGAAAATTATTTATTTATTTAAACACGTAAACATTATTCCAAGGAGGCGCCAAATAGATATGTGTCATACAAATCATTCGACTTGTGTGAGGGCTGGGATACTGCCCGAGTGCCCAAACCGAAGCAGGTGGTTTTCTTAGGGGGCCACTCCCCGAGCCTTCGACCTAGAGATTTAATCCACAGGGCAGTGGAGCAACGTCAGGAGATGCAGTCTCATGGTAGCCGGTGACCAATGTTTGGTTCATACGCCATTTGTTACCTTAGGATCCTGGAGCCTATGTGCACCATTGGTTTGGAATCAGGGTTTTCCAACTCTCCTAGGTGGACTCTCCGTGTCCACCAACCAGGTTAAAGCGCCGGACATTCGCTTTTCGTCCTCATTTTCGTAAACAACACCCCCACCACAAGAAGGCAGTGAGTAGAACTTCCCTGGCAGTAGTTGAATGCACGAGGCCATGCGAGAGCATTTCAAGAGGAAGAGTTGACTCTGTTCATTGTCGGCCGTATCAGGGCATTTGGGGGCAAGCAATTACCTAATTAACTTCAATGTTTTATTACTATTCCAAACCTCAGTTATGATGACATGAATAAGTCATCCTATGGTGTCTAACATGAAATAAGTTATCACTTATTCAGTACGTATATTAACCGACATCAAAGGTAGTATATCCATAAAAAACGACCTCATCATCCGTGCAGTTTGTCAACACATCGACGCGATTAACTCAGAATAATTATTTAAGATAATCAACGTGAAGCAACCTGCAAATCAGCATGTCGTGGTGGTTTTCAAAACCAATGGAAATTATCTCACTCGCTAGTCCGAATTTTTTCCTTATTAGCGTAGAACTTGGGGGAAATGTCCTTAGGTCTAAGTTGCCACATCTCATGTCAACAGCGAAAGTAAAGAAATAAGTGAAATAAGAAGTAAAAGTGTGGAAACGGTTCCAGCTACAATGGATATCTTAATATAGATACAATTTACGATGAACAAATGAGATGGCAGGATGGAGTGTTGGAAATGAAGTTCAATTGAGAGCAAGGTAGTGTACCACCTCAGCCTATTTTGAACCGTATCACCCATTGTCTTCAACTGTGGACAGGCCACAATTAAACAGACACCATCTATGGATATCCCCGAAAACAACTGTCATCATCTCACCTTGAATTTATTGGTAGTTTGTCACGCTCAAAATCTATCTTAACCATACCAGTCAATGTGGTTTCGCAACGTTTTCATTTATTCACCTTTTTACTATGCTCCAAATCTTTGGTAGTTCCATCATTACTAAATAGTACTTCCAAGTTATCTATAGTCAGATACTAGTAACGTGCAAAGGTCTACATTAAAAGGCCGTCCCGTGACTGCAGAGTATCGGGAAGTAGGCTATGAAGTATGTTCTCTATTTGATAGCCATACTAATATTTCGCCTAATCCACAGGTAGCCCAAGTTTGCAAAAGCCTATTGGAATTTTTAAAACTATCTTCCAGCACATCTGCAGGGTTAGAAATACATTTGTTCTTCCCTTCATCCTTTAAGTATGAAGTCCTTAGTTCACTACTAATCTGATGTATATTTAGGAAAGATCGATGTCAACTTAAGGTGCACAATCTTGCAGAAAGCCTAGCCAGTTAGCAAAAACCTAAATCTGCTGAGTATATTTGATTTATGTTTCTAGATCTGTGCTTATCGCGATCAGCTACCGCTAGCGTGGTTGTGTACAAAACTGCCACTCCTTTTGGAGTACCTATCTGAACTCTGATCATGCCCTGGTCTGCGCCAATCTTACCTTACTTTTCAGTGGACAACGAAGTGACCGCCACCAACGGATTGATGTTAGCAAGCTGGTTGCAACTTCTGTTGCTAGTAAGTATCGAACCGAGCTAGCTTCTAGGCTAGCTACCACTCCATCGCGAAGTATAGATGAACATTGGTTGCAATTGCATTTAAACACAAATATTAGTACAAGGGGGGCACCGAATATATATTTGCCACACTCCACCATTCGATTTGTGTAAGGGCTGGGACACTGACCGGGTGCCCAGACTGAAGCGGGTGGTTTCCTTAGGGGGCCACTCCCCGAGCCTTCGACCTAGAGATCCAATCCGCGTGGCACTGAAGCGACGCTAGGAGATGCGGTCCAATGGTAGCCGGTGACCAACGATTGGTTCATACGCCATTTAATCCCTTAGGATCCTGTAGACCATGTGCACCATTGGTTTGGAATCAGGGTTTTACAGCCCCATAGGTGGGTCACGCGAACCCACAAACACGGTTGAAGCGCCGTGCGTCCTCTCAATTTCGTAAACAACACCCCTGCCGCAAAAATGCATTTGGGGTTAATCTGACTTCAAGAATAGTAAATCATGAAATATGAACTGCCCTTCAAATTAAATCTAAAATGGATTGAGCACACTCCCAGTCACCATCAGGTTTTGAAACATTGATATATTTACTGATTTCTGACTATGACTAAGACGATTTACAGCTAATTGATCACTGAGTAGTGACCAGTGTTATGTGTGTCAAATCCATCTTAGTCCTGATCGAATATTTATAGATGAAGTTGGAATGTGGCCACTAGTCTTAGCGACTCGACATTGGTTACTACTCAATTGTGATTATGTCCTAGAGGAGGTCGGAAGAACCCCAAATAGATAAGCGGTACCGTTTCTGATTATAGTGTGTCACATGAGATCAGTTTCGCTAGGGAGCATTAATAATGCCCTCATGATTACAGGTACACCTTTCCGACAAAACCCAGTTTCAAAATTTCCTGTTGACTACCCCCAACCTCGACCGTTAAGAGAATTTCCTATAATATCTCCTGTTTCTTCACCATGGTTGTCTTATCTAGTATTGTTGAAGTCTATTTGTTTAACCTGTGTGGTTATTGTTTCTATGATATTTTATTTTTGGAGATTTTTCGCGAACTATTCCAAAATTCTACTAAATTCAGTTTTTCCGCTTAAATCTTTTAGTTCACACTCTAAAATAGTTTACTGTTCCAAACTTTTATATGGGTCGTCGCCGAAGTAGTAACAAGCCTCCACCAAAGCGGAAAGCTATTGTCCCACTTGACAAAGTGTTTAATTGTCCTTTCTGCAATCATGGTCGATCTTGTGAAGTTATCTTGTAAGTTTTTCCCCTAATAAGTGTCATAGTTTTACGTTTTCCAGGCAACGGGATAACAATATTGGTTACATTAAGTGTACAATATGTTTAGAAGACTTCCAGACTAAAATAAATTATCTTAGCCAAGAGATTGATGTCTACAATGATTGGATCGATGCTTGTGAAGAAGCAAATGCCTAATGCAGACACCTAATATTTATATGGGTTTATTATGCGCTGTACAGAAGACGACGGGCATTTCACTGTACAACAGCAGGCAGTGCAAAATATGCTTTAGATGACAATCGACTTCTTTCATGTTTCGTAAATACGATCATCTCCTTGATATGTAAAATGTATATGTTTGTTTTTTTGCTAGTAAAATACATGAAGTGTTTTCAAAGTTCATAAAGTTTTAGTGGATGCATTGTTTTGCCATAACTGAGCAAAGTTTTCGCATTGAGGGATAGCGTGCTGATGGTTTTTCCTAGGGATTACGAGATCCTAAACAAACTATAATATTTTCTCTAAGAGTATGGAAACAATAGTAGGTTTTATCCTGAATATTAGTCATAAGATCATTATTATTTAAATACATGAACGTTGGTACAAGGAGGCATCAAATATATATGCACCACACAAATCATTTGATTTATGTGGGGGCTAGAATCCTGCCAGGGCGCCCAATAAATCTCCCGAAAATGCAATCACAATTATTTTTTTGCGTCTTCGTTTACCATGTAGCTTGTTAAAACGTATAATTCTATCACACTAGTAAGTGATTTTTTTGTGGCGAACCCACTTAACGAAATTGCTGTTTGAGAGACTTGTTTTGGCCTGTATTTAATTAGCATTGCGTCCACCTACCAATATTTTCATAAATATGGCAAGGGCAGTGTAGCTGATATATAAGCAGTACATTGTCAGCGATAAAACACCTATTTGGCAAAGTAAACTGAGATTTTCGTAGAATGGTTATGTAGAAAACCATTTTTTTGACTAAAGAATATTTTGAAGTGTTTCAAAAACACCCATCCATAAAACCTCAGTAAGTAGTAGTTACCTTACAGCTAACATCAGATTGACTTTAATCAAACAGCTATTGAAAGCTAGGAAGCACCGGAGAGTTGTTTCGTCCTAGTATTGAACTCCTCAACAGACTTCGCCGAAGGTCGAGCGCAGGACCTTCGGGTTTCGCGGCAGGCCCTTAGCCCACTGAACCGGATCCAATGGTTTACGCATCTAATGTCGAAACACCTATCCATTACCTTCTGGTTTGCGATAGTTAAGCCAAGAAAAGTCTGATGTTAACCATCAAATTCAACAGTCTCCACAAATCCCCTGTATAGTAATGGTTATCTGTTTATGTGCTCGTTGTTATTGTCCTTCGGAACGACTTTTAGTGAAGTCATTGTGACCAATTTCCTGTGCTGTCTTGAAATACGACAATTCAAACTGACAGACCGTTGTATAAGGTTGTTTTCCCTTAAGACAGTAGGTGGATATACATGTTGATATTTTAAAATTTCATTTAGAAAGTTTAAAATTTCCGTAGACTTGGATAAATCATTCATATCAGTATAAATGTACGTTTGCTTATATTTTTATTACTTATTCAAACCTTCCAGAGACTTAAAATTTAGTTCGAAAACATGACAATACATCAGTTAGTGGAGAAGATAGACTACTGCATATTATATACGTACGAAGTTCTTTGTTACTGACTGATTGATATACAAAAGAGTATGGTTCGCATAAAATTTAAACGATTATTTTATTTAATCGCAAAAACAAAATTACCAAACAGCTGTAATAAATAAGACCATTGATATATATATATATATATATATATATATATATATATATATATATATATATATCAATTTCCAGTTGTAGCTTTAAAGGTACAGAATGACCCTGCAAGATTATCTAAAATAAAAAGTGGAAAAATATTTAAAATATATTGAAAGCAGTTAATAATAAACCAGTGATCAGCATTGATTGACTGCAGTCAAAATGTTGACAAAGGAAGATTTATATGTACAAGCTAGCGTATGTTTACGAGAGGTTTATAATGATCACAAGCAGGAATTGATGAACTCTAAATGAAATGCATGGCAATTTTCACTAAATCAAATGGAATCATAATGTTTGCGACATTTATTCTACGCTTTAGTTTGTAATAATGTACGAACTAGTTCCCAATTGGATTTTTCGACAAAAAGACTTATTCCAGGCAATTGAGCTGATGGAATGATAATAGCTGGAGAATTGGAAAATTGTTCTACCTCTGTAGAGTTTGTACGACTACAACTGATAGATGGAGTTGTATCAGGAAATAACGTGGATTGATGGTTTACACAATCTAACGATACGACGGTTGATAACTCTAGAGTATCAGCCCAACGCTCCAAACTGCGCAAAGCACACAATACTTGTCCTAAATAAAAAGATGGAAAAAATAGTACAATTTAAAGCCTTGGTACTACATAAAGAAGACAATTACTTAGCACAAAGGGAAATTGGCGAATAAGCACATTGACTTTCTGCAAGAATCTGTCAGTTAGAAATCGCTCAGTTACCATAAACGTTAAATTTTGCCTTGGTTTCAACTTTATATATGATGATATACTACGCAGTGTATTTTGACACAGCTGTGTATTTACACCTCGTAACAAAGTTACCATTTTACTGTAAAAAAAAGCAGCATTAGAACTCAAACAAACAGTTGACACTTTCGAAATTCCTTCGGTTTGCGATACCGTATACTACTTATTCCTTAACACAACTTATGACAAGATTGATAACCAATTCCAAAGTGGGTTGTCGAGAATTTTTATTCAAGGAGAAGAAAGTAGAACTAAATAGTGAGTTAGCTTGAAAGAGTAATTTCTAATTCTCTTTGGAGGCTAGTGGGGCTCACTGCAACGACAAGTTTCTGCCAGTGACAATCGGACAGGGTAGGAATAGTACCACAAACTGACTTAATATAACGAATGTCACTCATCGCATCTTTCGAAGTAGTTATTTAAGACCATAGTGTTTATCAATGATCAGTTGTACCTATTTGAGCATGAGTCAGTAAATATACCAGGGAATTTGTATTGTACATTACAGTTGTACATGCAACTGCAACAATTCTGAAGTTAGACGTGCGGTTTTTGGAAAACAGCAAATCGGTTGATGAGATTCTGAATCTTAGTCGACGGTGGTTAAGAAATATGTAAGTATCCCCAACCATCGCTTACTTCGATACGAGATGCTTGCTGGTATAGGATTAAGCTAAAATAAAGCTATTAAAAGCCAAATCAAGATGTAAAATAAATATTCGTGAAGTCACAGACTACTAGAGTGAGCTGTTTATCTAAGTAGGTGCCATCTATTTGGCCGGGATCTGTGCGGTTATTGTGATCAATTGTTGAATTTGAGTGACATGGCTCAGAATCGATCACAATGGCACAGATACACTCATTATTTGTCCTCTATTAGGTTTCGAGTTTCAAAATTATTTCATACACTATTTTGCGAATATACCGCTTTTTCCCGAATCACTTCATCTATACTGTTACTGATATTACAACTTTTTTCCTACTTTGATATTCATATTGATAATTTTATCATGGTTTGTTGATATGGTGTGGCAACTTGAACTGATATGCATTTATCCTAAATTCTATGTTTATTTCGACATCAGTGGCTGACCCAATCATGATAAAAAGAAAAAAACAACTTAGATCGAAATTTATCAACGAATAATGAGTCATACTTTTATTTTATCACTGTTAAACGTTTAGATGGAACGGTGACTTGATCACAGAAAAACAGAGCACACATAGTTAAAATATCTAAAAACACTATTTCATGTTTCTAATTTATCCAGTTGTCGATGTGATTAGATGTCTTTCGAATGAGTTGAGTTTAATTAAAATAATGAACCGAGCAATTAGACGATATTTAAAACCTGGAGGCACTGGATCGACATTTTGTCCTAGTGTGCAACTTTCCGCTAATCCCTATCGATGGTCTCGCAACTGGGAATCGAAACCGCGTCGTAGATGCGTGCCACTTAGTCGCGTACTGTGGAGAAACAGTCGTTTAGTGTTCCAAAGTTTTCAATGGTCGTCTAACTTAGATCGGTTCGTGATTTCAGTGAAGTACAATTGGATTCGACATCGAAATAAATGACTTCATATTACTACAACTACAACTAAATGACTGTGTGAGAACGGGATTTATGGGGATTTTTTGATATTGACATTTAAAATTAGATTTATCCTTGAAATAACATGACTACTTCACGTTTTTAGTTGATTATTTATTCAAAATTACCAGTAACCTTTTTTAGAACTATGATTTATTCGGCAAAATATAACATTCAGAAAAGATTAAGCACTAATGTATCACGAGCATAAATGTCTACTTTTACCTACCCATTATATTCATAGAAGCCCATCTAGGATCCGGGTGTCTCGCAAGTAAAGTAAGACTTTCACCAGTGAAAAATGTTGATTTACAAAAAATATGTTGCTTATCTTCTATAGTTTGATCTCTATCAGGGCATAATTTTGAATGTAAATAATGCTTTGTCCATAAATTGGAAATTTGTGCTTTAGAAATACGGATTTCAGGTTTCTTAGATAATTGATCTAAGACATATTGGACAGGGACTAGTTCGTTTGGATTTGTAAGGTAAACCTCATCTGTTAAAAAAGGAAAAAAAATTAAAATCAATTAAAAATAATAAAGGATTAAAGTTTCGGTTATCCTTAGGACACCTTCGATTACTGGTCATATACAACTACCTATCTTCATTCTGCCCTTAACTAATAAAAAAACATCAAATAAACCAAAAAAGGGTGGTTTACACAAGTGATAACTACTTACATGTTTAGAAAACTCGTGAAACTAAAGTAAAAAGTCATATTAGAAAGTAACGACAGTAACAGAAAAAAGCATTTCTATCCGCGGAAAAAAGGAGGATGTTTCCTATTGTGCAACTAGACAAGTATACAGAGAAAATCCATTTTAAAAATAATGAACGGCTTTTGGAGATTTAAAAAACCTAAACAATAATACAGATTTAATGGTTGAAATACTCATCTAAATTATGCCCCACTTTGGTTTATACAGTTACGAAGTAATATCACGGTCTCTGACAAACTAGTTCAAAGCCCAGTTTCTTTTTACATAATTATTTGGACACATAAACGTTGGTACAAAGGAATACTACAATACATATGCGCCACGCAATAACAATGAGGTTGTTAAGAAATGAAGAATGAAGGGTGAGTATATTAAAAAAAGAAGAACGAACAACAATCAATAGGAATTAGTGTATGGAAGTGAAATAGTAATGAGGTAAGCAGTTGATTTAGGAAAAATGCAACCAGGAAGAATTTCAGCTAGAGAAGT